CAGGCCTTCATGGCTACCGTAGCAGCCCGGGGAGTACAAATTCGCCCTGCCTGGCAATCCCTTACATTGCCTGTTTCCGCCTTCCACCACGTGGACGTGGGAATTGGACTTATAGGAGACTTTGAGCCTTGCATTTCGTCTAAATTCAGAGGTGGTGAGGTCTGTCGGGAAGCACAAATTTAAAAAAATTCGTCAAAAATTCACTTTCAACTTTCATTTTAATTTAACAACGCCAATAAGTAGAGGAAATAAGATCTTTTGATTTATGGGGTTAATCTTTTCTAGAACGCGTTCACTTTTTAAACAGGAGCTTCCGGAAAATTCCTGATTTCAGCGTCAATTTAGGCTGGAAAAAAATCAAAACGACCTGAAACTTATGTCCAATTAGAACTAGTTCATCTAGGCCTCTTGTTCTGGCAAAGTTTGGGAAAATCAGTTTTTTTCTATCCTACAGACCCTTAGTCGATCCTTAAAACAAACTGTTCTTAAAGAGCTTCTGCCTGAGAGACCGGGGCAGATATGGAAATGAAGGTTGGCCGATTTTCCAACTAGTTTCTGTGCAATGTCCTTATGCAGACTTATGTAAAATGCCAAAGTTTGAGCTTCATTGATCGTTTTCTACCCGAGCTCTGAATATCAGCCCCATGGGGGTCCTGTGGGGTTAATTTTGGACAAATCAGTTCGGCACTTTTCAAAAACTCCAGAGAAAGAAATAATTTCAATCAAAACAAAAGTCATCTACGTAAAGCCTAATGCTTAAGCTTTCATAGGTAGAGATATTGGTGCGCAAGAATATTTTTCTTGCCTGCACTATTAATCAAAATGTAGTCCTCTTATAAGCAGCTCAGGTGGAACCGGAAAATGACCTATTTTTCAGGCCTATTATTTTGGATGCCCACCTATTTCATCGAAACGTTTTAGCGTCTCCGTAAAGTTTAATCCTTTGTGTAGTAATATCAAGAAAAAATACTAAGGTTGGGGGTTTTGACTTTGTCGAAACTTCGTCAAAGATACCATCTAGCCCACTTCCGGTAAAAGTCCTTAGAGGGTGCCTACATAAAAAAATTCCTATCGATTTTCGTTGTAAAGGTAATTCCCATTCTAAGCTGTCAAATAGAAGTCTAGTCTAAGTCTATGCATTTTTATCAATAAAATGAGTTTCATTTTGTCTAAAATTCCAAATCATTTTTTTTTTGGGGTCGATAAAATTTTGGTCCGGTTGAGTCGAAAAATGTGAAGAAATTTAATGGTCATTATCCATCGGTATCTTCTTCGTAACCAGTTCATCGTTCGCTCAACAGGTCCTCTTTTTAATTCAATCTGTATATGTATCATTCATGCTTGTTTAATCATAATGAAGCTATTGATCAATCTCTCTTGTTAAACGGTTTCAAGAATATTATGGTCCCAAGTGATGCATGTGGTGCCCTATAAACTAAAACATGAAAAGAGCGCAACATCGAGAACCCGTTATAAATATGTGCCACCTGATTCAAACTATTTGTTTATATAAATGGAAAGTAAAAATGACCCTCATTCAATACAGCAGTAATTATTGTCAGTGCACAGTAGATTTAGACAATTGAACGAGGCTTGAACTTGCGTTTTTCGAAGATCCAATTGTGTGACTCATTTTGAATATAACCACGGTGACTGCTCGAATTAATTTCTTTTCTTTAATCTCTTACCTCACTTTAACTTGAGAGTTGTCGCCACTGCGGTAGAGCTTTTATGTTACATCAAAAACTGTAGCTCGTTCTAACAGACCGACGTAACTTGACTAAAAATAGACGGATCGAAACTCAAGAGAACCGACCAATGACTGCTGGCAAACTTTACACACGAGTCTTACAACCAACACCATCATGGCTAAACTTACCAATCACTTTCGACGGACTAGACGTATGACACCATCGACTGACTAACACTATTCACCTGAGTTTGAAGATGACTTCCGCTCTGGTTGTCGAAACGTCAGTCACCAACAACAGTTCTTTTCAGAGCTACCCTTACCCGGACGATCACAGAATACGAACTACTGATACTCCTGGGTTCAAAACCTTTACTATATTATGACGTAGTTTGCGCATACACGATAGAGAGTTGAGCGGTGGCTAGCAGAGTTTCCCTCTCGTCTCTCACCGAACAGAAAGAGAAGGGAATCTCTGTCTCGCGGGGAAAATGGAACGCAAATTTCCGGTAAAAAGTATTCCGAAATTCGGGTATACCCACGAGGTTGTCCTTTTTCCAGGAAATTCCGAGAAATATCGTGCCATACACCACTGGAAATTCAGACCGAAAATTGTGGTCAAACTGAAAGGGCCGACTATTAGGAAAATGCTCAGAGGCAACAACTACTACCCCGATGAGGGTTTTTCAAGAGAAAGTGTTCAGAGCGACCTATGTACTTGGATTACTTAATTGCTTCCCAAATTATGCGGTGCAGCGGTAGTCGTTTATGTCGTTTTTTGCCGAGGACAATATGTTCCCCGTTTGTAGTGCAAACCCACACGCCTTTTCTTTTGAAAACGTAACCTATGAATTGATTAATGAACGATCGAGTAGCGGTGTTTTAACGGATTTAAAATTATAACGCGCCGTTAAATGATTTTGGCCTGGAAAAGAGAACTCGATGCGACCGCCGGTACCTATTAAACGACCTCCAACCTTTTCCAGCAATACCTACCATTATGCCGTACGTTTTACAGGCTGCTTTTGTCTATCACAGTTCAACCAACCTTGCAATGCCAATCNTCCTCCAACCTTTCCCAACAATACGTACCATTATGCCGTACGTTTTACAGGCTGCTTTTGTCTATCACAGTTCAACCAACCTTGCAATGCCAATCATCACTGTCTGTCAGGAAAGGTGAGAAAGCCAGTCTCTCATGCAGTGTGACTGGTGATCCCAAACCAAACGTCACATGGACAAAGGAGTCAGAACCTGAAAATATTATTTCTTATAATTCAACTTTGGCGATCGAAAATGTCCGCATCTCAGATGGTGGAAAGTACAATGTTACAGCTTACAATGGAAGGAGTGCAAGTGTTCTTGCCACTTTGACTGTGATATGTAAGTATTAATGCTTTATTCCTTTGATACCGAAACTCAAGAGGCGTACTCTGTAAGCTTTGAGTTAGGGCCAACCACAGTACCTCGTCATTTTTCAAGGTCTTGCTTTGGGGTCCTAACTATGAAATGGATGTTTTAAAGTTCTGATAAATTTTACTTTAGGAGTTCTGAACATGGCTGGTTTCGGTTGGCCCGAAAGGGGAGCCAATATGGTGGATCAAAAAACTTATTTTCGTCATTCCTTCCAGTTTACCATAATCTTTCACCAAACACCATTAATACCACCTTAAAGAGCTATCTTTGTACTCACATTCTAAGTCATACCATTCTCTGGAATAAAAAGTTTTGGTCATGAATGAGCGAAAAGTTGTGGTGGACTCACAGGTCACTCAAGCGTAATATAAGAAATTGTATGGAGAACTGTGGCTAAAATATGAGAGTTTGTATGGAGATCAAAAGATGACATCAAAATCAATCAATGTATGGGTAATTTACCGAATAAAGACTCTTGAACATTCAACGGTGTCATTTGTTCTCATCCTGGAGAGTTAAAACGAGATTTGAGCGAATTTTGAAAAATATGTCCCACAGTGTTATAATAAGAGACAAGGTAGGAAACTTTGGACAGTTTGACCACAAAACACTCTTCAGAAACAAGTCAAATTTGCACACAAAAAGAGCATTTACTCACAATACTTCTCGCTGAACTCACAAGGTAAGGCCTGTAGCTTCTCCCTCTGCAATCTAATGAATCACACATTCAATTTTCACTGTGTTAGCTGGCCAAAAAGGTGAAATATGACGGCCAAAATGGTGAAATTGATGCGTGTCCACACTGCACTGATCAGTTTGCTGTCGTCACCGCTCGGCCGAGACTGGGAACGTGGTCAATTATCACCTCACTGGTGGAGGGCAAGAGGTTTTTGATCTAACAAACTCCTGCTGTAGCCAAAGAGTGTAGGATTAAAGCAAAAGAAAAACGGTTACGGTGGAGTTTCATACCTCGTTACGAGTGTGGTAAGGTAATTATAGCGGAGCTCTGGCGGAGCCCCATACCCATATAGGGGAGAAAAGGAAACCCATGAATTGATTTTCT